AAATATATAGAAATACAACAAAAAAATATATATATATATATATATATATATATATATATATATATATATAAAAAGATTGTTGTGATAAACATGCTTTTTTATTTCTGAATTAAAACCAGTTTTGATTATTTTCTTGTCAAAATTGTCAAAATTGCCTACTGTAGGTGGTGTAACTGTTCAGAGATTGTAAAAAAAAAAAAAAGACAGAAATTCCTGAAAAATGTCTTGTTTGGCACGGAACAAAGGGGCACATTTTTGCTATATAATAAATTGTTTTTATTTTTTACTTTCGCCCTTCAAATCAAAGTCAGTGTGGTGTAACCAAAAAGCAACAGGTAATTTTTTGTCCTGTGACAAGAAAACAATATCATTACATAAAAAAAAAAAATCTAATATTTGTACTTGTTTTACGAAAATGCACGATTTGTTTATGTCAAACAGATTAGTCCCCTAAAAAAAATCCTTCTTTTGATATGCATGACTCAAATAAATAAATAAATAACCTTGAAAAAATGTTTGAAACTTCATAAAAAATAAGCTTAAGCTGAATTCTTTTCAAGAATTTTAATAAATAATTAAAATATTGATGAAATTGATTGATGATTAAAATAAAGATCATTTTTTTGTAAAGAATAGTACAATTTTTATCGATCAACAGAAAATCCTGAAAAATGTCTTGTTTGACACAGAAAACGGGGAAATTTTTGCTATATAATAAAAAAAATTTGTTTTTGTTTTTTTAATTTCACCCTTCAAATCAAAGTCAGTGTGGTATAACCAAAATCAAATGGTCATTTTGTGTCCTGTGACAAGAAAACAATGTCATTACATTTTTTAAAATATGATCATTTTTTTGTAAAGAATAGTACAATTTTTATCGATCAACAGAAAATCCTGAAAAATGTCTTGTTTGATACAGAAAACGGGGAAATTTTTGCTATATAATAAAATTGTTTTTTTGTTTTTGTTTTTTTAATTTCACCCTTCAAATCAAAGTCAGTGTGGTATAACCAAAATCAAATGGTCATTTTGTGTCCTGTGACAAGAAAACAATGTCATTACATTTTTTAAAATATCTTTTATTGATTTTTTATATAAAATATCTTTTATATATATATATACACACACACACGTAAATATTTTACTTGTTTATGAAAACACATGACTTGTTTAGGTCAAACAGAGTAGCCCTCTAAAAATCCTTCTTTTGATATGCATAACAAGAAAACAATCCTGTGACAAGAAAACAATGTCATTACATTTTTTTAAATATCTTTTATATATATACACACACACACAATAATAAAATTGTTTTTTTGTTTTTGTTTTTTTAATTTCACCCTTCAAATCAAAGTCAGTGTGGTATAACCAAAATCAAATGGTCATTTTGTGTCCTGTGACAAGAAAACAATGTCATTACATTTTTTAAAATATCTTTTATTGATTTTTTATATAAAATATCTTTTATATATATATATACACACACACACGTAAATATTTTACTTGTTTATGAAAACACATGACTTGTTTAGGTCAAACAGTGTAGCCCTCTAAAAATCCTTCTTTTGATATGCATGACTCAAATAAATAAATAAATAACCTTGAATTTTTTTTTGAAAAGTTAATAAAAAAAAAAAATGATTAAGCTTAATTATTTTCAAGATATTTAAAATAAAGATTACATTCAAATATGATTAAATAAAGAGACTTTTTGTAAAGAATAGTAAAAAAAATTATTCAGAAATGTATGAAAATTACATGAATACAAAGAGAACGTTTATATCATGCGAGACCCTGAAAGCTATTAGAGTGAACACTGGAACTCTCCAGTGAAGTTCTTCAGAAGGAAAAGAAGTGGGTGGTGAACAGGACCAGCTTTCCCCACATCCACAACTGATGGAAAGACACCTAAAACCTAATGTCTTTAGTTTCACACAATGTACAAATAACGAAACGAAAATCCCAAAGCTTAAATTCTTTAATAAAGGCTTTTCATTTCAGAGGGAAAACACATTTATAGTCCATAAGTTGATCATGTAACTGTCCCTCTCCTCTCTTGCTCCTGTATAACGTTAGAGGCATAAAAAACCTACCAGAAAAATATCTGTGAGAAGAGGTTAGCCGTGGCGGAAGGGTTGCTCTTCGCATCTTTCTTTATTGGCTCCATTTCGATCGCCATCCTCCTGCAGTTCAGCCGGACACTGGTACCCCACGCATAACCTGCGATCAGTGCGAGACATTTACCTTATAAACGGTTGTGTAACTTTCTAACATGCACATGTCGGCAAGTACAGGCGGAGGTAAGCCCTTCATTTCCTACTGTGAGCGCAAGGCGTAAGCCCCGCCCCTGATTGATCACCCATTGGCTCGACAATCCTTGGGTCACACGCGAGTGGCTCAGCGGGGGCTTATAGGCAAGACGTTTACATCCTTCACGCGCACTTTAAAATCAAACGAGATTAAGAATCCTACTACGCTGAAGACCTCTCTTATGAATGTTAATTAGCGCAGGGGTGCCCAAACTCAGTCCTGGAGGGCCAGTGTCCTGCTCCAACTTGCCTTAACTACACCTGCCACGAAGTTTCTAGTACAGGGCTGTCCAAACTCGGTCCCGGAGGGCAGGTGTCCTGCAGAGTTTAGCTCCAACTTGCCTCAACACACCTGACTGGAAATTTCTATAGGTGCGTTCGACTTGAAGCACGGCTACAGTCAACGAGAGTAGCCGCTTGCAGTCAGAGGCGGTGTTGAAAACGTTGAAACGTTGTTTCTCAACGGCTCTGAGTGTTGCATCTAGTGACCTAGTTAATATTCAGGAGCCCATCGCTCACCAGCCCGCTTATTTACCAGCTGAGCCAACGTCACGTCGGGTTATTAATATTCATGAGCCAACCCTTCGCCATAGTAGAATTTGCACGCGCGCTATTAACGAGCTACGGATGAAACAGCAGATTTTCTGTGAGGTAGAACTGCTGAAGAAGAAAAGGATGCAACTTTATGTTTAATATTTTTTTTTTAAGTAAATAAGATTGTGATAGACTATTCTGACACACGAGAGAAAGAAATGTTTATTTGTAGCTTTGATTGTGTAATTATGCATTGAAGGTACTTCTGGGTGAGGAGGCTTCTTGTCTACCATCTGTTCTTTATTAGCTCTGCATACACAACCCATTCATGCAGTGTGCTGGAAGCAATCATCTTTAATTAGAGTATCTAAAACAAGAAAGTAACTCAGAACAAATCTTTCCTTTTGAATATATCGAATGTTTTAAAATAAAAATGTCTTATTCTCATGTTGTTCCAAACCCATATGGATTTCGCCCCTTCTGTTAAATACAAATAGATACATTATGAATAATGCTGGCTGATGTTCTCCAAACAATTACAATAAATGGGGACTGTGTTCCAATAAAAGTATTACAAAATGAACAGACAAAAATGTAGTCTGTAAAATAAAAACATTCATTTGTGAACTAGATAAAGGGATTCATTAAAGACTTCAAAAGAACGATGTATTCACTGAAAAAAAATCATTTTGAGTGAATTTGAAATATGTCCTGACACAATTACATTTTAAACCAATCGCACATTAATCTCATTCCTCTGTGAGAAATACATACTGCAACAGGCACTATATGTTCATTCTCTCTCTTCCTTCCTCTGTCTGTCTCTCTTTCTTGGATTTCCGATACAGATAAAGCACTGAAAGGACAGAAGATGAGAGACCCACACTGAGACAGAGCAGGTGGCCGCTACACTGATAAAGGTAATACAGACTGACACAGACCCACACACACACACACACACATACACGCACGTGAGAAGGGAGGCCCTTGTCTGTAGCCGCCAAGAATTATACAAGCGTAATCAGCAAGGAGTTACAACTGTAGCTGTAACTTCAGGAATGATTGACTTCCACGTCATGCTCTGTATTGCAAAGAAAGCCTGACTGTTGAGTCATTATTACTTTTCTAAAAGTCGTAAATGTGAACTTTACACCAAAGGCCAAGTTCCAGTAAGGGATTACGGATTACATATTTCTGCTGGAAAACTGACTCAGAAAAAAAGCAATAAAACCTGGATCAGTGGCATTTCGGGTTAATAGAATAGAATCTGATGATTATCTGGGAATTTGTGGTTGGTCGGAAACCAAATGTTCATTCCAGTGTTTGAAAACACAGCAAGTTTATGGATTCCTTTCTGTTCTCACAGGCAAATGTTTTATTCTAGGTCAGATAAAATAAAAATAAAAAATAGAGCCATAATTTATATTCAAAAACAGATTCCATTTTTCACATATCTACTGTGTACAGCACTGAAATAGGCCAACTCTTAAAGGCATAGTTCACCCAAAAATGAAAATGAGCTGAAAATGTACTCGCACTAAGGCCATTCATAATGTAGATGAGTTTTTAGAACAGATTTGGAGAAATTTAGCTTTAAATCACTTGTTCACCAATGGATCCTATGCAGTGAATGGGTGCCGTCAGAATGGGAAGCTGAAAAAACATAATAATCCACACCAGGCCATCAATTATCATCTTGTGAAGCGAAAAGCTGTGTGTTTGTAAGAAACAAATCCACCATTAAGACATCTTTAACTTTAAACTTTTGCTCAAATGTGAGTCCTCTGTAATAGTGATTCCTTTCTCCAGTGAAAACGTTGTCTTGTCTGAATCAGGAGAGAACTAGGCACAGATCATTTACAGGTGAAAACAGTCCAAAACAGTACTAAACAAATATGTCAGTGGATTTTGATGTAAGAGGACAACGGAGGATGAACTTTTTCACTGCAAGAAGTGTTATTATGGTTTATGGACTCATATTTAGGTCAGAAACAACCGTTTAAACCCCACTTATGATGGATTTGGTTCATACAAACACAGCTTTTTGCTTCACAAGACGTTAACTGATGGACTGGGGTTGTGTGGAATGGATTACTTGTAGTTTATTGCAATGTTTTTATCAGCTGTTTGGACTCTCATTCTGACGGCACCCATTCACTGCAGAGGATCCATTGGCGAACAAATGATTTAAAGTTACATTTCTACAAATCTGTTCTGATAAAGAAACAAACTCATCTACATCTTGGATGGCCTGAAGGTGAGTACATTTTTAGCAAATGTTCATTTTTGGGTGAATATACCTTTAACCTTACCTCTGTCTGAGCATCCCAAACAATATACTTCAAGGTTACAAAACTCAAATTTGTGTGCTGCGTTGCACATAAGCATGTACAGTCATGTTCATTTTTTTCAAGCAAATTTCCTGGGAATGTCATCAGCAATTGGAGTTATTCTTATCAAGCGTTCTGTCATAAACAGATACATCTTTTAACCTTAGTTAACCGCAGAGGTACTCTATCTGGCATGCAAATATAAACTAGCTTTGTGTGACTCATAAGTCTTTCATAGTTATCTAAGAAGTCAAAGTCTTATGTCATGGTGACGTGAGGTTTGTGACCTTTACGCTTTCTTTAGAACATATAAATAATCTAGTTTGGTTATTTTTATAGCCTATTCATTTTGTTTCATTATGGTACTGATATGACATTGTTGTTATATTGACCTAATAAGTTATTAAATTGAATTATCAATGTAACTGATACTACCTGAAACATTACATAATTATAATTTATGTGCTGTTGACTGAAGAAGCCTAATGTTTTGGTCAAGTCAAGTTATGTTTTGTTCCTCCCTCTGGGGGGACGGAGGGAAACCATTAACAGGATCTGAGACTGAGAATGGGCAGGAAGACCCGTCTGACCACCGCTAACCGGTGCCTCCTGGTTACACAAACATGCACTCAAACTCATACAAAAACATTTAGCCTTTAAATATTCTTGACAAATATGTCTTTTTTATCAAGCAGCAGTAAAACACCCGTGGCATTTTACTAAAGTGACGATCTGTTATTTTAAACTCAAGGTGAAGTGAGCACGCAGGAAGCCTGTCTGAGATTTTAGACAGTGTAGATATTTTACATGCACTCTCACACTCCAGTTCTTGAGGCACTCTTACTCTTACACTTTGTGCAAACTATATTATAAAACAATTTTGTTAGGACAAATGCACAAACATGAATAGGAGTGTAAGTCAAAACCTGATGCTTACATATTATTACATACTTTTATGATAAAGAATTGTCATGTTGAAAAGAAGCCACAGTCTACCCAAATTCTTACTTCTAGATGGCAACAATTCATGTGTATGTGTGTGTGTATAGATATATATACACATACAGTTGAAGTCAAAAGTTTACATACACCTTGCAGAATCTGCAAAATTTTAATTATTTTACCAAAATAAGAGAGATCATACAAAATGCATTTTATTGTTAATTTAGTACTGACCTGAATAAGATATTTCACATAAAAGATGTTTACAGTCCACAAGAATATAATAGTTGAATTTATAAAAATGCCCCCGTTCAAAAGTTTGATTCTTAATACTGTGTTGTTATCTGAATGATTCACAGTTGTGTTTTTTAGTGATAGTTGTTCATGAGTCCCTTTTTTGTCCTGAACAGTTTAACTGCCTGCTGTTCTTCAGAAAAATCCTTCAGGTCCCAAAATCACAAATTCTCCCACAAATTCCAGCATTTTTGTGTATTTGAACCTTTTCCAACAATGACTGTATGATTTTGAGATCCATCTTTTCACACTGAGGACAACTGAGGGACTCATATACAACTATTACAGAAGGTTCAAACGCTCACAGATGCTTCAGAAGGAAAAACCATGCATTAAGAGCCAAACTTTTGAGCAGAATGAAGTTTGCATTCTTATTTTGCCTAAATATTATATTTTTTTTCATTTAGTACTGCCCTTCAGAGGCTACAGAAGATACTTACTTGAATGCATTTTATTGTTAATTTAGTACTGACCTGAATAAGATATTTCACATAAAAGATGTTTACAGTCCACAAGAATATAATAGTTGAATTTATAAAAATGCCCCCGTTCAAAAGTTTACATACACTTGATTCTTAATACTGTGTTGTTATCTGAATGATTCACAGTTGTGTTTTTTAGTGATAGTTGTTCATGAGTCCCTTTTTTGTCCTGAACAGTTTAACTGCCTGCTGTTCTTCAGAAAAATCCTTCAGGTCCCAAAATCACAAATTCTCCCACAAATTCCAGCATTTTTGTGTATTTGAACCTTTTCCAACAATGACTGTATGATTTTGAGATCCATCTTTTCACACTGAGGACAACTGAGGGACTCATATACAACTATTACAGAAGGTTCAAACGCTCACAGATGCTTCAGAAGGAAAAACCATACATTAAGAGCCACACTTTTGAGCAGAATGAAGTTTGCATTCTTATTTTGCCTAAATATTATATTTTTTTCATTTAGTACTGCCCTTCAGAGGCTACAGAATATACTTACTTTTTTCCCAAAAGACAAAATAAGTAAAATTTACCCTGATCTTCAAATTCAAAAGTTTTCTTTTGAAAACTATAATAGTATCCCAGTACTACCAAAAATATCACTGGTTCAAATCAATCCTTTATGCAAAATGACATCTCTCACATCAGACTCTTATCTGAACACTTTTCACCAATATCCGCTGGAGGCGTTGGCTTTTCAGGCCCTTTCAATAACAGCCATCTATAATGTACTCACCTCCTGACCTCCAGCATCTTTGCCGACTCACTCAAAATGATTCTTGCGGAGTGATGTTTGGGTGGGTGCGTGTATGCGAGTGTGTGTGGTGTTGTGGGTAGTTAATGTGAAAACAAAAGGCTATTGGTCAGCTGTTGAAAAAAAACCATGCATTAAGAGCCAAACTTTTGAGCAGAATGAAGTTTGCATTCTTATTTTGCCTAAATATTATATTTTTTTTCATTTAGTACTGCCCTTCAGAGGCTACAGAAGATACTTACTTGTTTCCCAAAAGACAAAATAAGTAAAATTTACCCTGATCTTCAAATTCAAAAGTTTTCTTTTGAAAACTATAATAGTATCCCAGTACTACCAAAAATATCACTGGTTCAAATCAATCCTTTATGCAAAATGACATCTCTCACATCAGACTCTTATCTGAACACTTTTCACCAATATCCGCTGGAGGCGTTGGCTTTTCAGGCCCTTTCAATAACAGCCATCTATAATGTACTCACCTCCTGACCTCCAGCATCTTTGCCGACTCACTCAAAATGATTCTTGCGGAGTGATGTTTGGGTGGGTGCGTGTATGTGAGTGTGTGTGGTGTTGTGGGTAGTTAATGTGAAAACAAAAGGCTATTGGTCAGGTTAGTAGCCAGAGCCCTCCCTGCTGAATATAAAGCAACTTTGAGGGGCGACCCATCGACAGACAATTCAGTCTGAGCACCCCTTACCAAATTACTACGTGCCTTGACCAGACCTTTCTTTGCATTTCACTTTAACAGAACGTGGGAAAATGGGTAATATGGCAACAGAGATTGTTGCCTTCCTTCTCACCATATCCGGATGGATTCTGATCTCCTCTACGCTCCCAACTGACTACTGGAAAGTGTCGTCAGTGGACGGGACAGTCATCACCACAGCAACCTTTTGGTCCAATCTCTGGAAGACGTGTGTTACGGATTCAACCGGAGTCTCCAACTGCAAGGACTTTCCTTCTATGCTTGCACTAGATGGTATTTTATTGCTTTCCTCAAGCATTTGTTGACTTTAATTCTTTTCTGAGTAAATGATCTGAATGTGTGTGTGTGTGTGTGTTTATGAAAATTGCTGATCGTTTGTCAGTCCTTCTTCCTTCCTTCAGAGAGTGCAACTGTCTAATTGTTCGGAAAAGAGTAGCATGGTGTTGGATTGCCCTAATGCTGTTTTGGCAGAAGCTTCAACAACACAAACAAACTGAAGCCAAACCGATCACTTGACCATTTAAACAGAGAGTTTATTGTGCTAAAATTGCACTTAATGCATGCTGACACCAGTTTAAGAACCAAGTCTCTATTTTAGTGCTAAAAAGATATGCAAAATGATTCAGCTTGTCTCGAACTTTATTTCCCTGACTTATTACGTCAGTTACAACCTGCAGGAATGTGTATCTCAAGGCAAGTAAAACAGGGTTTAATAACCATGCGTTGGCTTAATTGTGTCTGAATGGCTCACCCACAAACAGAAGGAAGCTTTAGTAAAAACAGAGAACCTTGTTCCCTCGGGGTGCAGAGCAAAAGCAGGTAGTCGAACAGGTTATGCATTTAAATGATATTAATGCATAATTGTCATGTTTGAAGCTGCGCATATTTGTGATGTAACCTCCTTGACGGCTAACTAGAAAGTTCAGTGAAAGATGCTACATTCATTTAAATGTGAAGCTTGTGATTTATGCACCACTAGCAGCATCAAGCAGAATTCCAAAAAGAAGTACATTTTTGCTGCATCCCAGTGAAAGTGTGTTCTGTATGTATTCTGTCATTCAGGTGTGTGAATGTGATATGGGATTTATTTGCACAATGCAATCCATCTTCTGCCAGATGAAAATGATAAGTCTGATCATTTAAATGTAATATCATAACATAAATGAGATGTTATTGAAAAAAATGACTTTTAAATTATGCTGAAAATTATGCACTTATCCATTTTTGCCACTCTTCCAGCAAAAATGTATAATTTTTTGTACTGTCTTGAAGTTCACTTTATAATTATAGTTACTGTATAACTTCCAGCTTTTATTTTTATAAATATATATATATATTTTAATTATTTGATGATGAAAAATCATATTATTATAAATCATATCATAATATATATTATTATCAAAATAACTATAACATACACATAAGAAGTAAAATATTAACAACAAAATTGTAAAAAATGGATTCATCCTAGTAATCATGTAATACATTTTTATGGTTTATAATAAATTATTTGTTATGATTATATATGGCTTCTGCTTTCCTGTTCCTGCAGCTTATATCCAGGTGTGTCGTGGACTGATGATCTCAGCGGTGTGTTTGGGATTTTTTGGAGCTATCCTGGCACTAGTGGGCATGAAGTGTACTAAAATAGGGGGATCAGAGACCACCAAAGCCAGGATCACCTGTATGTGTGGACTACACTTTATTCTCAGTGGTAAATGTTGCCTGAGCTAGGTCATGGCTTATTGTTTTTTAAAGCATTTGCAATTCCTACTTCTGCGATTGACAGTGTCCTGTAATGATATACCCGTCCTCTCTCCAGGAATCTGCTCTATGACCGCCTGCTCTCTCTATGCACACCGGATAACATCAGAGTTCTTTGACCCCTTATTTGTGAAACAGAAGTAAGTTTTGTAACATTCCTGCAATTGCTAGTATGCATCCCAATCCAGATTATTACGGACACGTCTTCTACGTGTCTGATTTTAGATTTGAACTTGGGGCGGCGCTCTTCATTGGCTGGGCAGGATCTGTTCTCAGCATTCTTGGAGGATTTATCTTTTGCTTTTCCATGACAGAGGGATTCAGCATCAGGTCTGATTCTTAGATTTTCCACTTGTATACTGTGTCACTTGTTTAAAAGAGATCATATAATTTGCCATTTTTATGCCAGCAACCTAAAATATTAACAAATGAATTTAGCCTACATGTCAACAAATCCTATTTGGCTCATCCATGTAATTTAACTTTAAGTTTAATTAGCATTTTAATTTAAGTAATTTAACGTATTCTTAATTCAACTGTATGTAGGTTTTTTTTTTTTTTTGAGACTTAGGAGCCACCTACTACAGTTAAGTGAGTGGAATTTACTGTGGTAAATATAGCACTGTCGTACAGCGGATATCTATATGCATTTGCTGCTGCCGTAAAGCAATCGGCAGTTTTCGCAGAATTTCGTACCCGCTCACCAAACGTACAAATTCCCCGAACAGACGTTTGGCGGGAGCGTGGGAAAGAAACTAAAGCAATTTGCCCTATTTAAAAAAGTCAGTTTACTATCAGAAGGATTTAGAAACTATAAGTGTAAAAGTATAAGATAATAACTTACAGAAGAACTAACGAGTTAAAACGTCAAACGGCACAACAGCAAGAATGTTTAAAGGTAAATTAAACCCAAAAATGATATTTTGATGAAACTTTGATAAAATTTGTTTATTCTGTGGAATACAAAGAAGATATATTTTGTAAATACTGTAGTACAGGTATTACAAATATTATAAGTATTGCTTATACAATATGAACAAACGTTTTTAATAGTATTTCGAATTTTTATATTTGTAATTTTAGCTCAGGTTTTAGCAACTCAAGTGGTTTTGTCATTTTTAGTAGTCTTTAAAATGTATTTCTATGTCAATTTTGATTTGTTTTTATTTCAGTGTTAGTTTTAGTAATTTTAGTACTACTTCAACTTATTTTTTCAGTTAGTTGCCCAGGCAACATTTAAGTTTTTCATCTTAATATTTCAATTTTATTTGAGCCTTATTTTAATAGCTTTACTTAATACCAACACTGGCTGTAATGGGTTGAAATCATTCTCTGACTCTCTGACAGGGAGTACTCCTACAACGGCACCACATCCTTCATATCAACACAAACTAAGATCACAAAGATGGGCAGAAACCCTGAGACTCCTCAGAAACACCCTCCAGACCAGAGCTTCTCTGGCAGGCAGTTTGGCAGGAATGCATATGTTTGACTTCAGCTTCTTCAGTAAAGTTGAAAATAATTACAAGTGAAGGCCAACAAGCACAAGGCTGCTTTTATCATTCGAGGCATTGAGGAGACTGCACAGAGGTAAATGTTATATATTATAAATATATATATATATCCTATTTTTAGAGGTTATTTTGATGAGATATGCCTATAAACAATATATTGCGGCTTAGACAGTTTTGTCAGGAAAACACATATTGCCTAAGAAACCTCAAGCAAACTTTCCAGGTCTGACAATGTGATAGAGTTGCCAGATTTCCTCACTTGGGACTTTGAATGAAGTCAGGTGAACCGATGACAGAGAGGACAGCTGCGCTTCACTGACCAGAGGAACATGCTGTCTGGATTCGGAAATTGAGTCGGAACTCACATATTGCTCTGGTCCTGGAGTCTCTCCTCACCTCGTGATCAGTGGAAACTCTAGACTCTGACTCGGGTTTTAGAGCTTCCGTGGGCCGCTGCAGGCTGGCAGAGGCTTCTTGTTCTGTCAGATTCTTCCTTAAACAAGTGTTCAGTGTCTCTGTGCTTTTTTGTAAGAAGGTTTTAAACTATAATAAAGGCCTTTATTGTCTTGGACTGTGCTTCAAAATTTGGGGGATTTATATTAGTCCAAAGACCACAGACAAATGAATGTTTCCATAAATACTGCAATTATTGTTTAAAATATTTTTAAAAATATATATACATTACTTTTTTTTAAAGGGGTCCTATTATGCTCTTTTACAAAGTCTTGATTTTGTTTTGGGGGTGTACTAGAACAGGCTCTCATACTAGGTTGTTCGAAAAACACAGTATTTTTCACATATTTTACATTATTGCAACACCTCTCTCCTCAGTCTGGCATGAACGGTTCGAATAGTTCCTGTATCAAATGAAGGCCCGCCTTCTGAAATACAAAATGTGCTGTGATTGGTTAGCTGGGTCACACACACACACACACACACACACACACACACACACACCCACCCTGATATCAGTCTTAATTAAGTCCATCGAACACACATGCACATACTCAAACACACACACACTTTTATGAAATTAATAATGTTATGAACCCTGAGGCTATTTTCTGGAAAAATAAAGGCCTTTTTGAAAACGGCCCTGAATAGTACCTATAAATACATCATTTAACCTATGCACCCTCTAGTGAAAAATAAGTGTGCTTAACTGTATTGAATGTGCATTTGTAGTGTACTTCAAATTTTAAATGTGTTTTTATAAAATTGTATTTACTGATAATAAAGGCCATTAAGTGTACTTTCAGAGAATATAATTTCATGACTATGTAACATACTTTGCAATAATGCACTTTGTAAAAATGTCAAATGAAAAGTTTTACTTTAAGTATCATGTTTTAATTTTTTGCCGTGCTTTGAAGAAGTACACTTATTTTTGATCTGTTGACTAACATACTAAAGCACATGTAAATTACTTTGTTAACTGTAGTGTTATTCAGTATTACATTTCAATTTAATATATTTTAAATATACTAAGTAGCAATTTCATTACAAATGTGTAATGACAAACATTTAAATACAAGATATACAGGTTTCAATAGAAGCTAAATGAAAGTATATTTTAGTTTACCGTCATTACTTTCAGCAGTAACCATATTTTAAACACAATAGAAATAATTACGAAATTACATATAAAGAGCTACTTAAATGTGGCAAAAAGCACTCTAAACGGGATTTAATATCAATAAGGCATTTTGATTTAATTGCAATTAACATGCAATTAAGTGTCTGAAAACATTAGATTCAATTCACACTTGAGTGTATTCTTTTAAAGTTTTTTCCCCCCCATACATACACTTTTTAAAAGTGCTCTAAAGTCTACTTTTTTCCACAAAACCCTGTGCTGTGCTGTATGATGTTAAAAATAAATGCAGATAATGATGAATAAGGAGTTTAAAACTGGACCGCTGGCCTGCATGTAGCATGTCCTCACTGGGATGCTTATATATAGGAAATATGAGCTGAGAACCGAGGTAAGCGTTCTCTCTGTCCTCCAGAAACTTAAAAACAAGGCCCTGGGAACATGGGAGAGTCATAGATTCACATCAGCACAAAAAAAGAAGGGTGTTTAGTGGCCAGTCTCGGGCAGAGCAGGCTAACAGATTCTTAGGAAGAAACAGTTTAACGGATCATGAGCTGACTTGTTGATACTGCAGAAGACAGAGAAAGAGATGCTGCAAGTGACAAAGTTTTGATAAGAAAAGAAAGACAAAATAATAAAGTGTGAGGTAGGGTGGGGAAAACAGTGATGAAGATTCGTGTAATGCAGATCTGGGGCTTCCTGTTAGCGGTACTGGGCTGGATCTTTGTCGCCTGCTCCATGGCCATGGAGTGCTGGAAGATCTCCTCTATCGGAGGGCAAGGTGGGAGCGCCGTCATAACAGTGGGCTGGTACTGGTCCAGTCTGTGGAGGGCCTGCTTCACAGACTCCTCTTCCACATCTAACTGCTACGACTTCCCCGTGCTGTGGTCTGTGGAAGGTATGGACATGATTAAAGTCTTTGAATGTACATGTACACATTTTTGATTTGCTAATTAAAAGAGACTAAATAAATTCATTTGTTAAACAGTTTACACCCCAAAACTCTCAAGTAGATTAAAAATAAACGTTCTTTATTGGCATCTATGGTTCCACAAAGAACCTTTATTATTTATTTATTTATATTTTGCAGTGATGACATTGAAGAACTCTTTTGGGTTCCTCAAAGAACCTTTCAGTAAAAACGGTTTTTTTTTTTTCTTTGTGTGAAGAACATTTTAATAAGCTATAGAACCTTTTTCCAATATAAAGAAACATTGTTCAATGGAAAGGTTCCAAAGATGTTAAAAGTGGATCAATGCCACTGAAAACCTTAACCTTTAACCCTTCTGGTGCTCCTCGGATGGTGGTCAAAAATGGCCTTTATTTATATATATATATATATATATATATATATAAATTAGTGCTGTCAAACGCAAATCAAATCTGAAGCATTGATGTATTTTTGAATGTTATATAGTATTTGAAATATTGAAAACATTGTTTTATTTGCACAGTTAATTTTATGGATTCTTTCTATGATCTACACAGGATCTACATTGTACAACAAAAGTAGGAAAGACCGTTTCCATCACCAAAGAAAAGGCAATTGCGACAATTCAAAAAGTCTGAATTGTGAGATATAAATTCATTTTTTCTCAGAATTCTAAGATTACATCTCACTACTCTGACTTTTTGTCTCACAATTCTAAGTTTATGTCTTGCTATTATGTTTATGAATGCTACCTTTTTAAAAAAAAAAATATTCCATGAAACACCCTTCCATAAAAAAATTCTTCATATACTTACTGCAGTCCATCAAATCTGGGGTTGAAATATTCTGCAGAAACATGCTGAGCATAAAGTGCATAACCAGAGGCAGCCAGCATACCTTAGAGAACAGACGCAGTAAGACACACGTGCAAGCTTAATTTACAATGGATCTGCTGTATATTATGAAGAAATGTACCACTTGTTATGTGACAGATGCCTCCTGTGAACACAGATCGGTTCTTCTCTTTGTCTTTTCCTCCGATGTAAGTGCATTCCATTCCCACGAGACTCAAGATGAAGGCCAGCACTCCAACACCCATCCCAGACATGAGCAGAGCCCTCACGATCTGAAGATAACCTGAACATCCCAGATCCAAAGAATGTATTATATCTGTCTTTCTGTCTGTCCATAGAAAAAAACATTTTTGTTTCCCCAAAGAATCTTGCAGTGAACAAAACGTAAAAGAACAATTTTTTTCTTACTATGAAGAATATTTTATTAATCTAAATAAACTTTTTTTAACTATAAATAACCCTTTTTGCAATGCACACTTAACCTTCTGGTCCTATTTGACCTCATTTTTATTTATTTTTTAATTATTATTATTTTAAATTTTATTTATTTTTTCCGTCAGAATGGTACAAAACTTGGTAAAGGTTTTGGCACTTGGCATGTGAACACACACACACACTTGCACTACTCGCAGTCAAAATGGGAAGCAAATTTCCTTTCGTGGAAATGCATGGTACTGCGCCCAACCAAAATCTTACTGAAAACTCTTTTTTTTATATCAACCTCAACTTTGGAACACAATTAGTTTAGATTTAGGGCTTTGATTTTTGAGTTTAAATTTAGTAAAACGTGTTTTGGAAAATATATATTTCATAAAAAATATTTGTATACTTTTGTCATTATAATTTAAAGTACTGTAATATCGTTTTTAGTGTCAATTTAACTTTTTTCACTTCAGCAATAATCTGCAAAGTCTTCTTTAAAAAGAGACCAAACATAAGTGTGTGCTACAAAGCATTCAAGATTTACAACAGTTTAAGTTATATATATATTACCATAAATCCCTTAAAAATACTAAATATTAAATAAAAACAGAATCGAACTAAAATCTAGAAATATAGTACATTCATTTCATTGAAATTAAAACAAATATTTATATATATATATATATTAGTGCTGTCACCCAAAATAAGTTTTGTTTACATAATATATGTGTGTGTGTGTTGTGTATATTTATTACGTATATATAAATACACACACATACAGCATATATTTTGAAAATATTTACATGTATATATTTATTTTCATGCAATTTATATCATATATAAATATATCTAATATATAAACGTTACATATTTTTCTTAAATATATACATGCATGTGTGTGTATTTATATATAGGCCTACATAATAAATATACACAGTAAACACACATATATTATGTAAACAACCATTTTTATTTTGGATGTGATTAATCGTTTGACAGCACTAATTTATATATATATATATATATATATATATATAAATTAGTGCTGTCAAACGATTAATCACATCCAAAATAAAAATGGTTGTTTACATAATATATGTGTGTTTACTGTGTATATTTATTATGTAGGCCTATATATAAATACACACACATGCATGTATATATTTAAGAAAAATATGTAACGTTTATATATTAGATATATTTATATATGATATAAATTGCATGAAAATAAATATATACATGTAAATATTTTCAAAATATATGCTGTATGTGTGTGTATTTATATATACGTAATAAATATACACAACACACACACACATATATTATGTAAACAAAACTTATTTTGGGTGACAGCACTAATATATATATATATATAAATATTTGTTTTAATTTCAATGAAATGAATGTACTATATTTCTAGATTTTAGTTCGATTCTGTTTTTATTTAATATTTAGTATTTTTAAGGGATTTATGGTAATATATATATAACTTAAACTGTTGTAAATCTTGAATGCTTTGTAGCACACACTTATGTTTGGTCTCTTTTTAAAG